GGATGAGGCGGCGGTGGTGGCGGAGGGAGCGGAGGCGGCGGAGGTGGCGGAGGAGGCGGAGGTGGAGGAGGCGGCGGACGCGGCGGCGGCGGCGGCGGCGGTGGTCGAGCGGGTCGCGACTCTGCGCAGAGGAGTGGGTCAGGTGGTGGTCCGCGCGAGCAGCAGCGAAGTGGTGTGACTCTGTCCCCTCAGCAGCTTCGTGAGTGGTAAGCGGCGCGTCAGCGCGGTGGGGGTACTGGTCCCTGCACCTACGTCCTCCGTACCGGCGACCGAGCTGGTGAGCAGTGCGGGGGCCTACACTCCACCCAGCGCTGCTTCGGTCGCCTGACGGACGCGTGGCGTCGCCAGTTCCCTGAGGCGTCAGAGATCCCTCGGGCGGGGGTTGCCATCTTTGATCTTGACTATGATGCTATCCTTGCTGCCATGTATTCTGTGACTACTAGTGTTGAGGGTGACTGTTACCTGTGTGTACCGCCTGACCCGGGCATTGAGGCCACTGCTCTAGGTGCTGGTGAGGCTGCTGCTCTAGGTGCTAGTGCGTCTGTTGCCCCAGGTGCTGGTGAGTCTGCTTTCTCAGGTACTGCGTCGGCTAAGGCCTTACACACCTTCACCCTTGACTCGGGTGCGTCCCGTTCCTTCTTTCAAGACCGCACCACTCTTACGCCGCTCAGTCGGTCGGTTGCAGTCTCCCTGGCGGACCCCTCTGGGGGTCCTGTCCTTGCTAGCTTCTCCACTGTCTTACCATGCCCGGCAGCCCCCTCTGGCACCCTGTCAGGTCTCTACCTCCCCTCGTTCTCTACGAACTTGGTGAGTGGAGCGGACCTACAGGATAGGGGGGTTGACCAGTTCACTCCTGCGAGTCAGCGAGTGACCCACTGCACGTGTGCTCGGACAGGCCGACACTTGGCCACGTTCACCCGTTGGCCAGGGTCGAGCCTGTACACCCTTACTACTGAGTCTCCTCCGACTGCTGAGTCTGGCACGGTAGCTGCGTCGAGTCAAGTGTTTGCTGCAGCGTTCAGGTCTGGTCCTGAGTCTGCTCCCTGCTCGTGTCCTCTCCTGTCCCACCAGACTCTCCTTTGGCACCACCGCCTTGGTCACCCCTCCCTGCCTCGTCTCCGAGGCATGGCCTCCCGTGTCCTTGTCTCTGGTCTCCCCCGGTCTCTCCCTCGCCTACCTCCGGGGCCTGCCCCTACCTGCGTCCCCTGCGTCGAGGGGCGAAAGCGTGCCGCCCCTCACTCCTCCGAGTTTCCTCCGATAGAGGCTCCGGTGCAAACTCTCCACATGGACGTGTGGGGCCCCGCCCGCGTCCATGGACAGGGACACGAGCGTTACTTCCCGTTGGTGGTTGACGACTTCTCGCGTTACACCACAGTCTTCCCCTTGCGCAGCAAGGGTGACGTCACTGAGGTGTTGATCGACTGGATCCGCGCAGCTCGTCTCCAGCTCTGAGAGAGTTTCGGCTCGGACTTTCCTGTTCTGCATCTGCACTCGGGCAGAGGCGGGGAGTTTTCCTCTGCTCGTCTGGGAGCCTTCTGTCGGGCACAGGGCATCCGCCAGACCTTCACGCTTCCGGCCTCTCCACAGCAAAATGGGATTGCTGAGCGCCGCATTGGCATGGTCATGGACGTCGCTCGTACGTCCATGATCCATACGGCTGCCCCCCATTTTGTGTGGCCGTTTGCGGTTCAGTACGTGGCGCATCAGCTCAACCTTCAGCCCCGGGTCTCCTTGCCAGAGACCTCCCCCACCTTGCGGTGGACGGGGAAGGTTGGCGATGCGTCTGCGTTTCGGGTCTGGGGATCTCGGACATTTGTCCGCGACTTGTCTGCGGACAAGCTGCCCCCCCGTGCTGTTCCCTGCATCTTCCTTGGCTTCCCCCCTGACGCGCCTGGGTGGTAGTTTTACCACCCCACCTCGCGCCGTGTTCTATCCTCCCAGGCCGTCACCTTTGACGAGTCGGTGCCTTACTACCGTCTCTTCCCCTACCGCACTGCGCCCCTCCCCCCGCCGCCGCTCTTCCTTGCGCCAGGTCCTCCCCCGGTAGACCCCCTCCCCCCTCAGGGTCCTGCCCCGTCAGGTGTGTCCCAGGTAGACGCACTCGAGCCTGTCGAGGTAGCTGTCGCGCACTTGCGCAGTCGCGCAGTCGCGCACTCGCACTGTCGCGCACTCGCGCTATCGCGCACTCGCGTAGTTTGGTAGTCGCTCACTCGCGCTGTAGCTCACTCACACTGTCGCGCGCTCGCCCACTCATGCTCTCGCGCCCTCGAGCTCTCGAGCACTTGCGCTTTCACGCTCCGCGCAATCGCGCACTTGGCAGTCTCGCACTCGCGCAGTCACGGAGTCACGCACTCGTACACTTGCACACTCGCGCATGAAACAATCTAGTGTGTAAATTACGGTTTGCGCCGTGCGTTGTTGCTGGGTTGCGTAGTAGCATCGTTGCGTTGTTGCGAATTTTTTTTTTTTGAACAAATTAGAATATATTTACAACCTTTAGAACAATCTAGTTATAGTATTATTGTTCATTGAACAATCTAGCTTCTAATTTTTCTAATTTATCTACTAATATCGTGAGCATCGTGACATCGTGAGCATCGTGACCTTGTGAGCATCGTGACATCATGAGCATCGTGAGCATCGTGACTATCGAGAGCATCGTGACATCGTGAGCATCGTGACAAGGTGAGCATCGTGGCATCGTGAGCATCGTGACAACGTAAGCATCGTAACATCGTGGGCATCGTGACATCGTGAGCATTGTGACATCATGAGCATCGTGAGCATCGTGACATAGTAAGCATCGTGACATCGTTACATCGTGAGCATCGTGAGCATCGTGAGCAAGATAAGAAAATGAATAAAATCAATAAACTTATGCGTAAAAAGTGTATGTAGTAATCACAACAACTTTCTATAAAATTTCACAATCTGAAACGATCCATCAGAATTATTTAAACCTGTAATTTGGAAACTAGATTGTTCAATAATATTCTATAAGCATATTCAAACACATCGTGACAAGGCGCAAAGATCGTGTCTAGGAAACGATACCTTGCAGTTATAGCGTTGCGCCGTGCGCGCTGTCGCGCATGCGGAGAGTCATTCTACAACGGTAGTGAGCTAGACTACGGGGGTTGGCACGAACTACTAGAGGTGATCATAGCTTTGCTTGGTTCCGTAGTGCTTGCACATTCACGGGAGAAATCGGCAAGGATTTCCACTAGCAAAGTTGGGATTACAGAATAATAGAACAAGCAATGACAGAATTACTAAATCAGGCACCTAGCAACCTTGCAGCTAGCCTGGTCGACCGCCAGCACAACTCGGTCGACCGCCTGTCAGCGTTGCATAGAGGAGCCGCGTCAGCACTGCAGAAGGGCGACCTGCCAACGGAGCAGGTCGACGGCGTGCCAACGCTGCAGCAGAGCGGTTGTCCAGCATTGCCCCGTAGAACACAGCAGTGCGCACGCTCGCAGGGGCGCGCAAACAATTGGCCCGGCTTGCCTCGTTGGGCATCCATCGGCTGTTGTCTGCGCCTGATGAGCCACATTGACTTCCGGATACCAGCCCGCAGTCGCCTTCGCCATCGCGACCTCGACGACATTCGCGTGCAGGTTACTTGATCGACCCGGTCGACCACCAGGTGCTTCCGGTCGACCAACACTACTTCTGGTCGACCCCCAGATCCCTCTGGTCGACTAGCAGGCGCCCCTGGTCGACCACAGTGTTATAGTCACAATAGGCTCCAATGTGCCTAAAACGAAAGATAGAGTGCACAACCGGATTTCTGCACAGCGGCTTCAAACGTTCATAGCGTTCTGGTCACAACTTCAAATGACCTGATTCAACTTGGATCTGGAGCGTCTGAACGTCGTCTACAATAGACAATTTAGATCGCACAATTTTACCAAGTATTGACGACACAGTAATGGTTTGAACGAACGGCACTATGGCAGCCACTATAGTCTTAGAACACAAAATAGGAAGAGATGTGAAGAGTTACGAGTTGGGAATGACTCCCAACTCCTACAAACCCCAAGAGCCGAGGTACAGTGATGTGGAACAGTGCCACACTGTCCCCAACCACGAAGGGTCTCGAAACTACCCTTCACTAGGGCCTACACCAAGTGAAATGTTACACTACACAAAGTAATGTAACTATCTTCAATATCTTGAGGTGTACCCTTTTGGCGAGCTTCGAAATCACTTGAGGCTTGACACCAAGGCTCGGGCTCTTCATCACAAACTCATCCTTGAGTTCTTGATGGGTCTGCTGCACACACCTGCGACACACCGAACGTTCGACACAGGACAAAATAGAAACCGCGCACGACAAAAATAGAAACCGCGCGCGAGACACAAACGACCGCGTAACACGCGTCTAGCGATAACTCGCTATTGACTCGACACACACACTCGACATCATGACTCAACATTCACACACAATTATAAGCATGAAATATATATTATCCCATGCCCTCATACCATTCCATACACACACACATGCACGCACACGGACAACAAGCCGAGTGCAAACCGTAGGGTTGCACCAACAAACTCCCCCTCGGATTGTTGGCCTTAGGATATGCTGCTCTCTCAGTTCAGAGCCATTCCAGCCAGCTTGCAACACTTCCAATGCTGCTGCTCCACCAGCCTCTTAGTCATCATGTCAGCCGGCTGCCCCGTGGTCTTCACGTACTGCAACTCAACTTCACCCGCGGTCACCATGCTCCTCGTCCAATGCCACTTCACCCTCATGTGCTTTGTGAGTCCATGCAATACAGGGTTCTTGGCAAGAGCAATGGCACCCTGGCTGTCACAGTAGAGTGGGGTAGGTCCTTGCTGCTCCTCCCCCAATTCAGCCAACAAACGCCGCTGCCACACAATCTCCCATACGGCACGGAAGAGTGCCATGTACTCGGACTCTACCGAGCTCAAAGCTTGGTCAACCTGCCTCTTGCTCTCCCAAGAAGTTGGGCCTCCACCAACACAGCATA